GCCCTCACCCCAGTCCTGGCCAAACACGGACTCCTTCCACTGTGCCTGCAGCACCTCTCACCTTCCTGCTGACTGGGGGTTCCAGGCCGTGTCTCCCACACTTCACGTCCTACCAATCAGAGAAGCTTGCTCCTCATTTTAAGAAAAGCTTTGCTTTCCAGAGCCTCCCCACTTCTGCTACCACTTTATCCAGTGGAGGCCTCTGGATATGAGGCTGGCCTCACTGGTGGGGCCAGGCCAGCCGCCTGTCTTGGGAGACCCACCCTGGCTCGCCTCCTGCCTTCTGTCATCTTCCTCCCAGCACCACCAAACCTCCTGGCCTCCTGCATCTTCTGCCACTCCCTCTCCTAAATGCCCCTGGGGTGACGGCAGCCAGAGTTTAGGGGGCCCTCCACGGTCTACAGCAGTTCTCTCAGTTAACCTTCACAATGCCGAGGCAGGAGTACCTGGCTCCTGCGTTTCTGGCTGCAGATGCTGACCTTCTGCAGGCTCTGTGCGTCCCACACTCCTTCATGACCGCCTTACCACTTCACTAGAACCACCCTTCCAAGTTCCCTCGCTGTGTTGCCTCACTTGGGGACAACTGCGAGCTCAGAGGCCATGTCTTCTTAGTCCCCAACCCCTTGGTCTCTCCCACTCAAGGCCCCTCCCTTGACGTGAGGTTGCTCCACTGTCTCTTCTCCCTTCCCCTGCCCACGGCTATGTCCTCACCCTCCCGTCATCTCTTGGCCACACTGCTCGCCCCCACAGCTTCAGCCCATTTTCTCCCCTGGCCACTCCCAGGCTCCCAGCTGGCTGGTGGACGTCCGCCCCAGCTACTCTAGGGCAACTCCAATCTAACATGTCCACATCTGAACTCTGGGTCTCTCTTCCTCCCAAACCACCTCCTCCTCTCTCAAGTAACACCCTTGCTGGTTCTCCCGTCACTTGGGTTCCTCGGTCATCAGCTTTGCCTTCCTCCTCTCCTTCAGCCTTCACAGGCCTTCTTCACCGGGTCCCTCCCCTCTTGCTACTCCCAACGCTACTGCCCTGGTCCCCCTTCTCAAAGGACTGAGCACAGGGCCCCAGAGAGCACAAGCTATGTGTTCTCGTAAGAAGGAACTGCCGTTTCCCTCAACCATCACTCACTCAACAGTTCCTGAGTGAGCGATATGCACCAGGCACTGTCCATACCGCACCAAATGAGGGATGAACCCCGCCCCTGGGGGGCATACACCCTAGCGGGGGACAGACAGCAGTTACAATCCAAATATACGGTACGTTAGAGTGCCACGGAAAAACAAAGCACAGCGCTGGGGTGGGGATGCAGAAGTAGGGGAGCTCCTTTATGTGGGGTAGTCTGAGAGGCCCCTCCTCTGTCCAGAGGGTGGCCTGGCTGTAACAGGCCAAGGCCAATCACCAAAGTCAAAAAGAACGTAACTCTTTCAGAAAGAGAACACTCTTGGTTTTGGCAATAAAAATCCAGGGACTTTATTTCCTAATCCTTTAAATTGGAAACACTTGTTGCTATGAGGTAGGGGGCTCGTGGTTTGTGGGAACAGGGTGGGAATCTGGCTGAACAGCCTTCGGTTACCTTAAATTTTGAAATACATGACTATATTTCCTTTTTAAAACACTGATTCACTGAAATAGGAAAGAATGTGCAGTCTTTTGGAAAAGATTAATCATTTCCATGAACTATTTCCTTAAAGGGGGCCTGTCTGCATATCTGCCGACTGCTGACAGAACACAGCAGATGGGAGTCTTTCTGTGCTCCTCAGAGGGCAAAGTCTCGAGCAGGGGGACAGCCACTTGGCAGCCTGTGAGCTTGGGCCAGGTGGCACATGGGTTGTGCGTGGGCACTTGACTAACCATGCGCACAGTGACAGGCAACCCGGGAGGCAGGGCAGAAGGCATGGGAAGCCAAAGAGCAGGGTGCTCGCTGGGAGCTGACAACACCTCTGGGTCGCTCTCATACTTAAGTGGCTCTCCATCCTGGCTATCACATTCACTCCCAGTTTTATCTTCAGGCACCACTGATGCATCCTATTTGGAGAGCCACAGACAAATGGCTATACTGAGGAAACCCCCTCTGAGACCGGTCCACGGGTGCCTGGGTGGATCAATCAGTTGAGGGTCAGACTCTTGGTTTCGGCTTGGGTCGTGATCTCAAGCCTCGAGTTGGGCTCCCCACTAGGCAGGGAGTTTGCTTCTCTCTCTCTTCCCACCCCCAGCCCTCCCCCTGCTTGTGCTCTCTCTCTCTAAAGTAAATAAATCAATCTTGGAGGAGGCGGAAGGCTGATCCACAAGCCAGGATTTAGCTGGCATGCTCCCCTGGTTTTCTGGTGGAGCTGGGGCCAGAGAGCACTTTGCTAGGGTGGCTCCATGGAGGTGGGTGTGGGGAGGGAAGGGCTGGCTCTGTAAGTGGCAGAGGCCTGAATAGCAGGGACTTGAGAAGACTCAAGATATCCCAACTTAGTCCTCAATGTAACAAGCACAGGGCTATGACCAGGCCAAGAGGAAAGGTAAGGAATTAGGTGCCCTGTATGGGTGAACGTCTATGTCCCCCAGATTCTGATATTGAAGTATAATCCCCAATGTGACGGTATTTGGAGGGGGGCCTTTGGTAGGTCATTAGATTTGGATGAGGTCATGGGGGTGGAGTCCCATAATGGGACTGGCGCCCTTATAAGGGGATGAAGAACCCAGAACTGTCTCAGCCACGTCACGACGTAGCAAGAAGATGGCAGTCTACAAAAACAGGAAGCAGGTTCTCACTAGACATCAAATCTGCTGGCATCCTGATCTTGATCAGACTGCAGAACTGTGAGGGATGTTTGTTCAACCACCCAGTCTAAGGTCTTTTTGTTACAGCAGCTTGAACTAAGGCTGTTTAGAGTACGGCCAGAGGGCATGATGGGGGCTGCTAGCGGTGGGAAATGGGCTCTTGTCCTTTAAATATTCCACATAACGCAGTCACCAACTCCAGTCACTAAAAATTCAGACTGCCAGTCACTCAGTGTGGGCACTCAAAGGTCCTCAGCAGAGACAAGATCAGGAAGCTGAGCCTGACATGCACCAGGCACTTAGAAACAGCCTAACAGAAGAATTTCAGATTTTAATTAGGGGCAGTGAGCACAGGAAACCCAGTATTCTGTCCCATTTCAGGAAACCCTCAGTGTAAACCGTCCAGAGCCAGGGACTCCCAAATGTAGGCCCAGTCCCTATTTTCATAACTGACATCTCTCAAGCAGCAGAATCTGTATCCTTCTTCAAAAAAGGCATACAATTTTCTTTCAGTTAAAAAAGAAAAGTTTATGGTTTTGCTGGTAGCAGACAAGAGATCTAGCTGGATTTGTAGGCAACCTCAAGTAGTTAAGCAGGCTGGGGGCGCCTGGGTGGCTCAGTCGTTGAGCGTCTGCCTTCGGCTCAGGTCATGGTCCCAGGGTCCTGGGATCGAGTCCCGCATCGGGCTCCCTGCTCCTTGGGAGCCTGCTTCTCCCTCTGCCTCTCTCTCTCTCTCTCTCTCTCTGTCTCTCATGAATAAAGAAATAAAATCTTAAAAAAAAAAAAAAAAAAAGCAAAGCAGGCTGAAGTTTTAGGCCACTGTTAGAGGCAGTTTGAGGGATGTGATTGGGATGCTGACTTGCTGGGGGTCTACGGGACCAGTCAGTGGTTTGTGGTAACAGAGCAGAAAGCAACAGTCTCTGGCAGCTAAGAACACTGGAAGGTTGTCCCGGACAATGCAGGGCACCCAACTGTCCTGAAGTAATACATGAAACCACAAAACAAAGAAATAAACTCAAGAAAAGTGACTAGGCTCTAGCTTTGTGACTCTCAATATGACACCTAACACTCTGGGCTGCTGTCCCCTCATCAGTCCAGCACAGGGGGCCTCCAGCTCTCGCCCGCTCCGACACCGTCACTGGTCTCGTGAGCAAACCAGCTCGGTTTTATCAGGGTTTGTAAGAAGCTACTAACCTCCCTCGGACTCGGTTTCCTTATCTATAACAAAGAGGATAAAATTGGGAGAAGCGATTGAGCAGTGAAAGCAAATGGACTTTGGATTTAGGCAAGCAGAGTCTCAATTCTTAGCCCTGTGTAACCAAAAGCAGGTTACTCGACCTCTCTGAGTCTTACTTTCTTCACCTGCAAAATGAAGACAATAATGTCTGTTATAAGGGCTGTGGAAGGATCCTGCTCACACTGCCTTCCAGTCCGGGCAAAGTAAACATCAGTCTTCTTCCTTCTTTCTTATTCCACATTTAGCAAATGTGCGAGGGGGATGTGAATGCCCTGAAATGTCCGTTAAAAAAAAATTCAACCCTTCAAAGGATGCTATCCACGGTGCCATCAGATAGAGTGACCTCCACGTCTCTCTTCCAGCGGAAGAGGGCCTACCTTCTGATCAGCACACTCGCCTCCGGCGCTGTCAGGGAGGGCCTGGAAGAGGTGAGGACAAGAGGCTGCGGGGAGCACTGAGCACCAAGCACAGAAGCACGGCGGTCCTGTGGGTGCCATCTCAGCCAGGCTCTGCAGCAGGAGCACGCTTGGGCGAATAGTCTGGGCCCCCGGCCAGCAAGCACGAGAAACCCTCAAGCTGGGAGACTTTGCCGTGATGATGCAGTGAGCTCCCTAAGGTCCTGAGACCTGGCCCCCGAGGCAGTGCAGGAAGAGGCACTACTCTAAGGCGCCTAAGTTAACCACAGAAAGTCTGAGCTCTAAGTTAACCACAGAAAGAAAGATTCTCATCACATGTAAAAATTCACAGCTTTCCAAAGCCAGTCACCTGGTGGGGAACAGTGTGGGCCCATAAGCAGAGCTCAGGGAAGGACTCCTCCCACACTAGGGAGAAGACGCGCTGCCACCGGTCTTGGCCAGCCCGCTTCCTGCGTCCCCAACCTTCCCAGTGCCAGTTCTAGAACAAGTGATCCCAGCTCAGGCTCTCCTGCTCCACAAGTGGGTGTAGACAGCAGTGGCTTTCCTGTATGGAGAAAATTCATCATTTATAACACAGCAACTGACCCATCTGCTCCTCATGAGAAGAATGTATTTAAACCTGGAAAGAGTCATAATTCTGAGATAGTCCACATGTTGTCAGCTTTGCCTTCCACAGATGCAGGGCTTCTCCCCTTTGATGAGGGACCTTGTGGCTGAGCTGGAGAAACAGCCGTGGGGAAGCGGGTGCTCTCCCTACCAGCATGTATCAGGTTCATGATCTGGGTCAAGTCCCGTGCAAACAGAGCTAGGACTGTGGCAGTGAGGGAAACATATTCCGTAGGTGGTGGGAACCAGAAAACTTGCCTAGACGAAAGGACTCTGGGCATGACAACCCTAGTAGAGGCAGGAGGCAATTCTGGTTCTCATCAAACTCTGCCCTTGTTTGCCATTCACCACATACCCTAATCTGAAGGGTCAGCCCTGTTCTAGCTATGGCACCTCGTCAGCAAGAGTGAATGCTATAGGACCTCAGAAGCATGGCGGTGCTAAGGATGAAGACTCTAGGCAGAGAATGTCCTAGTGGTGGGTTCTAGGAAGCAGGTGGGTCCCCAGACAGTGCCCAGTCCCTGGGAGTGGCTACATGCGGGAAGTAAAGGTACGAGTGGCTCGGGCACGTGGACCCCCACGGAGGAAGCCGGGGACCCCCCCCCCCACATCTGCAGTGGCCGCATGTATCAGAAGCCGGCAGGCGGCATATGTGAGAACCAAGCCCACGCTAGCCGTGAACCTGGGACGCCTCCCCACCCCCAACACCACGGCAGCAGGGGGCAGGGCCCGGGGCCTGACCCTTCTAAGGCTCAGAGTGGGCTCTGTGGCAGGACTGGCTTGGCTTGCTTCAAGGACTGCAGTTCAGTAGCCACGGGCCCTCAGACAAACTGGGACAGGTTGGGGACTTTGATGTTGAGATCACCAATGTTGATGTTCCGAGGAATCTCCGGCAGATTGATGTTTTTCACAGCAGACACGGCCCGGGCAGGGGCTGCTGAAAGGCCACCCTGAGGAGAAAGGGGAAGGGGCATGAGACACATGCTCAGTGTCATCTCTCTAATGCTTAGAAACACAAGTGACGGAGACCTGGAAAGCGTCCACGCTGAACACACACAATGCGTGTTTTGCTTTTTCGTCCGTATTCCTCAAAGGTAGCCAACACGACCATCTTGAGGTTGACGGGAGCCATGGGGTAGGGACTTGCACTCTGTGCTCCCAAAGGGGTTGTGGCTTATGCAGTGTTGTAGCCGCAGCACATAATAGTGCCTGGCACACCTGCAGGTGCTTTGCTGCAATAACCTGAGATGGTTCAACCGAGTCAAAGTATTGGGGGCCCTTTTCAGGCTCCAAACAAAACCCTTTCCTGAAGAGGCTGACTCTTAGAGACAAGTGCAATCACAGGGAAACTCTTATAAGGAAAAGGAAAGTCAGAGCTTAGGGCAACTGCTTGCCAACGAACACCGTGAGATGGGAAAGAGCTGGCTTTGGAAATGTCATGTGGCAGCAAGATGGGAGGAAGGACATGGGTCTGATGTACCCACGGCCACGGAAGGGCTAGTAACAAACACAGAGGAAGGCGGCCACAGTCGGTGCTCCTCTGGCTCACCCGCAGTGTGCAGAGAAGGGGAGAAGCCGACAAGACTCTCAGAACCATTTCCTCCTTACCAATGCTTTCAGGAGACCGACTCCAGTTCCACTCTTGCCCAGCACGTCTCCATTCTTCTGCTTTCCAAACCCCTTGCCTCTGACTCACTTACTATTCCTGGAAGTTTCCCGGCCTGCCTCCCTCAAAGAACTGTCGTGCCACTCTAGCTGTGGTCTGGAAAAGCTGCTTCAGCAGGACCGCCAGACCTCACAGACAGAGGAATTCCTGGTTTTGCAAGATCAAGTTCTGTTACAAGAAGCAATGAAGCTCTTGAAGATGCTCAGCTCATTAAAGAGGTAATTTATTCTGCTATTTCCGCCACGTGTGACGGTGTATACCTGTAGCCTCAACTCTCCAGGAAGGCTGATGGAGGTGACAGACCTCAGAGGGGTAGGACAGAAATAACTGTGAGCATTTATTTTATTTTTTTTTTTAAGTAATATCTATGCCCAACGTGGGGCTTGAACTCACAACCCCAAGATCAGGAGTCACACACTCCACCGACTGAGCCAGCCAAGTGCCCTGACTGTGAGCACTATGTGGGGGTGGGCTGGGGTATGTTACTTGCAAACCCAGCCCATACCCTACTGCAGCTGAGTAGAAGGCTAACTGGAAATACGGCAACTGGCAACTCCGAGGTTCTGAAAGACACCATGAGACATGGCCGCTGGGAGATCAGACTGCCATAGCACTAGGAAACCACGCTGGGACCAGAGAAGGGCATTCTGTCTCCCTCCAGGGAACGTGTAGCTTTGAAAGGAGGAATGACAAACCACAAACATGGGCCATAATCCCCCAAGCCCGGAGCTGTTTGTCTTCCTGTGCCATCTGACTTTTCCATTCACACTTTTAACCTTAATTCTTACAAGTTTAATTTTCAGCACTGGCCTTCAAGTCAATTGGTTTTGAAGGACTCAAGGAAGAAAGAGGAACATAAACATCCCTAAGGTTTCCCAGCAACACAAACCAACACATGTGTCCATTCCTCCTTCTGCCCCAGGCTCTTGGAACCAGCCGGGGCAAGAGCACAGCAGTGTACTCACCTCGGATTTCTCCAGCCTGTTTTGAGCTTCAATCTGAGCCACGATTTCATTCATGTTGGTTTCCAACACCATCCCACCCATCACCACCTCCTGAAGGATGTAGTGCACCTAGAGGGGAAGCAAAAATAAGAAGGGTTAGAGCACCCTGTGGTAGCTGGGGTGTGGCCCGAACGCAGACCTCCTGGGCCTTTCCGGCACCAGCCCAGCAGTCGGACCTGACACACCAGCTCCTGATTCCCAACAGACACTTGAGCGCCTGGGTCATCCACCTCTCAAGCGAGCCCACATGGATGGCCCCCACGCCCTGGCATTCCCTAGCATGAATCTCTTCCATGAGCAGTGATAGCTCATTCTTACCTGCGGAACTGCCTGGCCACACTCAAGGCAGGGAGGTGGTGGCTGAGAGCACAGGCTCTGAAGTCAGACGGACCTTGTTTAAAATTTTGGCTCTGCTCTCTGTTAGCTGGGTGATCTTGGGCAAATTATCCTTTCAGTCCTCCAGCTTCCTTCCAGAACCATGGTGAGGACTGAGTGCGATAACCTGTATCAAACACCTGGCCTGGCGTCTGCCCCACAACAGGTTCTGAATGCATCAGGATGGCTGTCATTACCAGTATCATCATCACGATCATCACGGATGCATTCCGTCCATCCAGCTGTGGCCGAGCAAGCCCTGCCCAGTGGGATGTCTCCCAGGCTTCCTAAGATAGACCCTTCTGCCTGGGCTCTGCTGGCGGCAAAATGGGCACCTTTCTTTGTACTTGTCCGCATCCCTTTCTTAGAGCTCCGGTAAGAAACCAGGCTCAGCATGAATACTCGCCTGGGTACCAGGCTCACACCTGAGCTCGGGTTCCATCTAGCCAGGACTCCCCAACAGAGGTGACTCTCGGTGTGCTCAACTGCTGTGCCCACTGAGCCATGGTGCTGACTCAATTGCTGTGGCCCACGGTAGCGGGAGGGCTGCCATGGAAACCCCCAGAGGGTCAGGTAAGAGGTGCCTGCTGGGGTCCTTAAGGGGGAGTGGGGCTTCCTCTTTCAAATCAAATCATATCAACATGGCCTTCAAGGTGCTTTCAGTCATGCTGGGAAGATCACAGGTACCACCTTCTATTGTTAATTAAGTGCCCAATTAGCAGTCTGAGGAGGAAGAGGGCAGTGGCTTAGAGAGACCAGAGAGGTTCACGGAGATGGTGGGAGGACTGAGCTGGGCTCTCACATCGGAGAAGGACACGAGGTGAAAGGCACTGGAGGAAGCAATTCGGCTGGTGTTGGGTATGAGGAGCACCAGGATCTGGCTGGAATGGCAGATTTACGAAGAGGCTAGAGACAATGCTGACAAGGTAGTTTGGGCCTAAGGTCTGGGCACTACTGCCATTAGGAGTTGGATAATTTTCTATTGGGGAGGGGGGCTGTCCTGTGCATTGTAGCATGTTCGGAAGCACCCCTGGGCTCTGCTCACCAGATTCCAGTAGCACCCCTCCAGCTGTGACAACCAAAAATGCTTCCAGACATGGTCAAATGTCTCCTGGCGAAATCGCCCCCAGTTGAGACATACTGATCTAGCGTCTAGACTGGACCATGGAGGCTTTGAGGGTCAATTTACTCTGTAGGCAACAAAGAGTCAAGACAAATGATGTGTCCGTGTGTCTGTGTGCTTGTGCGTGTGCATTTTTGACACATGAAGCTCTCTGGCACATCAGTTCTCCGTATTTTGCCCATAGTTAAGTGGAGGGAATGCACTAACTGATATAACCAGGGTACATCTTCTGGCCTCAGGGAGGAAGTGTAATAAAAGCGTATGTTCTGGAGCACCTGGGTGGCTCAGTCGGCTAACCTCTGACTCTTGATTTCGGCTCATGTCATGATCTCAGGGTGGTGAGATCCAGACCCTCCTCGGGCTCCGTGCTCAGCAGGGAGTCTGCTTGAGATTCTCTCTCTCCCTCTGCCCCTCCCCACTGCGTGCTCTCTCTCTAAATAGATAAATAAAATCTTAAAAAAGCCTATGGGTAAACACAAAGTATATTTGCCTACATTGAGCTTTACAAATCACTTTTCTGTCCACAAAGACACACTCAGGCGGCATTCTTAAATTTTATACAATAGGATTTATTTCATTACTTAAATGCAAATGGAGATTTGATGGCAAAACGCTCATATCTAGATAATTAACAAAATGTTAAACAAGACTGATCTTAAAATTATTTGTTGGGGAACTATACCGTTTATACTTCCCCATCAAGAAATCAGCCTCTGAACACAGTATGGTTGTTTCTCAAAAATTTTTTACAAAATAGAATAGCCGTATAATCAAACAATTCTGCCACTGGGCATCTACTCAGAGGAATTAAAACAAAAGTTTCCAAAAGATACTTGTACATGTATCATCACAGCAGCATTATCCACAGAATAACCAAAAGGCAGGAGCAACCCAAGTGTCCATCGATGGATGAAAGGATGAATGTGACATACGCATACAAAGGAATATTATTCGGTCTTAAAAAAGGAGAAAACTCGAACACCTGCTACAGCATGGACGAACCCTAAAGACATTACACTAAGTGAAATAAGCCAGAGACAGAAGGACAGATCTGGCATGACCTCCTTATGTGAGGTACCTAGTTAGTCAAAACCAAAGGCATAAAGTAGAACGGTAGTTGCTGGGCTGAGGTGGGAGGGGATGGGGACTTGTTTAATGGGAACAGAGTTTCAGTTGGGCAAGATGAAGAATTCTGGAGAAGGGTCACACAACCACGTGAATGTGCTTAACACTACTCAACTGTACACTTCAAAATGAAGATGGAAAATTTTACGTAACATAAAATTTACCAGTACTCCTAGTATTTTATTCCTTTTGTTTAATGAGCCCCTTCTTCATGGGGAAGTAGTACTTGTTGAGCATCTACTACACGATGAGCACTTCATATGTAACTTATTTTAATTTTACGATCCATGTGAGGTAGGTAATATGACCTTCACTTTATCTATGAGGAAGTGAAATATGGAAACGTCAATCAGCTATTCCGCTGTCACACGTATCAGAAGGAGAACAGAGTAATGGGGCTGGGTCTGTCTGACTCCGGAGCTCATGTTCTGCACCCTTTCCCCCATGATGCCTCAAAATCCCAAACTGTGTCTTCTGCCCTGTCCACCCCTTACCCCTAGTCCAAACAGAATCATTTTGAGACTTGCCTTTGGTATGTCAGAGACCTTATATGAATTCTTCCATGCTCTATCCCCAAGGCCTAGCATACTGCCCAGTGAGGAGGAGGCATACTGACTGAATGAAAAGGCTTTTTGTAAGTCTGAGTAGCATATTCCTGGGGCTTTAGGTGCTTAGAAAGGTGGAAGGCAGTGTGGTGGTGGAGGCTGGATGGAGAAGGTGTAGCAGAAAACCTAATACAGAATATCATGGGGACCAGCCACTGGTTAACAGAAAATGTCAGTTAAGATTTCTGATTTGAACACTGCATCATGAAATCATAATTTTAAAATGCTATTCAAGATGTATTCTAAGTGCAAAAAGGAGAAATAAATAAAAATGCAAACTCCATTTTCAACAAAACTGGAAGACAACCAAAATCCCAGACTCTAAAACAGCTAGAAAAGCTGTCAAAGGCAGGGAGCTCAAACAAGGTTCCTTTCCTTTAGAGAAAGAAAAGAAGAACGGATACTATGGAGAGGAGACACAGGAGCTGGAGAGAAAGAGATGTCCAGACAGACTTCCTATAGGTAAAGGACACGCTCTCTGGGACCAAACAGATTCCTGGTTTTGAGAGGCAGAAACGTCCGTGGACCTGGAGCTAGGAAACCACACAAACCAGCTATATTTGCCTCACAGAGTTAAACTCTGTGGCAGCATCTGCATCGTGGAAAAGCTCACAGATGCCTATCTCTGCTGGCTGGAGAGAGAGAAAGGGTAAATGAACTCACCCAGAACCTTAAATCATGAGAATGGCTGCAGCGAGCATGGAACGCAGACTTGGTACCTCTTCTATACAAGCATCCTGCAAGAGCTAGTCCCTGAAAAACTCACCTATTTAAAGAGGAGTTATAAGAAATCTGCACAGGATATATACAGAGATACAACAACAAAAAAAAATTAGGGAAGAAACTGGAAAACCAAAAGGCAGACTAAGACTACACACTGGAAAACGCTGCTACAGAGCAGATGAACAGCAATAAAATCTTTTGCAAAAGTGAAAAAAGAAAACCATGAAGCAAGAGCTCAGAGCAGAGGGACACCTGGGTGGCTCAGTTGGTTAAGCGTCTGCCTTCAGCTCAGGTCAGGATCCCAGGGTCCTGGGATCAGGTCCCGCATTGGGCTCCCTGCTCAGCGGGGAGTCTGCTTCTCCCTCTGCCTGCCGCTCCCCCTGCTTGTGCTCCCTCTCTCTCGCTCTCTCTCTGACCAAAAAAAAAAAAGAGCTCAGAGCAGAAGAGCAAGCGCTCACAAGAAGGGGTAGGGAGATGACAGGGAGAAGAGAAGGCATCAACTAGCACAGCTCAGGGAAGAAGGGGAAGGAAAAAATGAACCGAAATGAGGGTAGAACAGAAAAGAACAAAAGGGAGAAGAGACACTGTGGAAAGCATGGTAAGGAACAAAACGGAGGGACATGGAAAAAACCACATACAATGAAACGGGAAAGGCGTTCTCAATAGAATTGAGAGTGAACAGGAGTTACAGAAGGCAGCCAAGGCCAGCAGCATGCGCATAAAGGAGAACTGTAATTGAAGCAAACAAACAGGCAGAGTTGCTCATAAACATTCCATGAAGATCTACTTCGAGATGTTTCTGAAACAAAAATATCCACATACTTAAAGGACACACTGTATATCCCAGGAAAAACTGGCCCAGAACAGTCAGTGCCAAGACAGAGCCTGAGGGTAAGATTTCTGCAACCAGGCAAAAGGATCAAATCACGTAAAAGAGGGGCAAACTCTTGAAAATTCCCCCAGTAAAATTCAGTGCTAGCAGAAAAAGATGCAGTACCTACACAATTGCCAAAGAGAGGCAGCGAAACCCAAGAGCTGTACCCAGGGGGCTGCTGATCCAGAAACACTGTTCCCCATGAGTCTTTCCGGAGAAATCTACAAACGGAAACACCTCTGCC